TAGATTTGTTCAAATAGGTCCTTGGTGCATCCCTCTGCGACCCCGAGGAGTCTTTGCTGAGCCTTCGTCCTTCGTGTGACGAACCCCTTTATAGCAGGACATCATGCTTTACGATAATTCACCAAAACACGAATGCAAGAAGCACTTGCGTCCTATGATGCACGAAAGTTCGGCAAGGATTAATCGAAGTCACATGGCGGTGCGCCGATGACCTATTTTCACAAATCTACAACTTACGAATGCTTTCCATTCGTCTCTTCAAACGAAATAAAAGATACTCCAACATCAATTATTAAGGGGTTCTTTAAAACCCAGTTTTTCTACATACCTAGTATAAACCTTGTGTATGGAAAGCACCATCACAAAGTCAATCATTTTATGCTATAGCCACAAGGCGGAGATTAAGACTGTTCAATCGGAAAATCACTCCTTAGCTGTCATGTTTCACCGATAGGGATGAATTGCTACCGTCTTTGTGGACCTCCTATCTTAGACAGTAAAACTATTATTGATGCTCGCCTTGTCTCCAAAGTCAAAAATATTTTTTGATTTTGGTAAAAAGTGTCTAAGAGAAGAAACAATTATTTTAACATAATTGAAATATTTGCCTGAGAAATAATCAAATTCTGCTTCCAAAATGCACCTGTGTTTAGTAAACCATGCATGTGAAAGGATTCATTAACGGTGAGTAACCTTCAAGTATTTATTCCTCAATTTCCTATTAGTTAAGTCTATTCGGTATATAATTGGAAAGTTGTAGGAACTAAGTCTGCCTTCTATTTCCACGAGGTTAGATGTACCATTCCCCCTTGTATTCTGTACACTTTGCATTATTAACCCTCTGCAGTGTGTGGCCGAACCCTACTCGAAACTACTGGAAAATTCTCTTCACCACAACTGGCAAAGCGCCTGCTGAAGCCGGACTGTCCCGGTTGCCCGGGTTCTGCAGGTGACCGACAGACAGAGCAGGATATGGCGAACAATTTGATGCAGATCATGGACTGGTCCCCAGAGTCAGAAAGTTTTTATCACCCAACCAGCCATACAGATTACCAGATCACCGGAATGGTTGGTGATGGCCCCGGCGCATCTAGTTCGGCCAACAAGACTTCATGGCTCCATCGGAAACGAGGAAACTTCACTTTGGGAACTCGGCGTAGACGCCGACTGCGGGAGATTGGCTCTAGTCCTTCAGAGGAGCTAAATGAGGACTGGAGAGGAGGCGGAGGAAGTGTGTTTAATTCTGAAGCTACCGAAGGCGGAGGCAATAGTGGTAGCAGTGGCAATGGAGGCATTGAAGGATCTGTAGGTCCCGTTGGAGGATTGCTAGGTGGCTTTACTTCTCTCGTCTACCGGCCAAGAGAGCAACAGTTTGCAGCCGATGAGGTGATTCTGTGCCAGTGGCGCATTAATGCTGTACCTGGTGAACGTGTTCTGCTCAATTTCACGTTGATGGACATTCGTGACAGTTCTCTGGCTGCTCTACCGTCGCCGACCGCCTCTCCAGTATCCATGTCGTTGACGTCGGTGTCGACGTCTTCACTGACCTCAGGTCAGTCAAGCCAAATTGGCAGGTCGCCAAAGAGGACAAGTAGCGGAGATGTGGGCAGTGCTGGTGAGAGTGAAGAGGAAGAGGAGACCGAAGGTGGTAGCGACAGAGGAGGAGGCTCGGACGAAGCTGCAGGAGGCGTCCCAGGCCACGGAGCGATGTCACGACTCCTCTTCACAGCACAGGCAGATGCTTCGCCTGGAACACCTGCTACTGGGCAAAGTAGGTCGGGGTCAGCAGAAGGCGGAGGTGGAAGCCTATCGTGCGTCGACAATTATGTGGAGGTACGCGACGGCTACCACTCCAAGGCTCCGCTAATCGGTAAACATTTGTGGTGCATAATAAAATTATTCACAGACCTTTAACGGGTTCTTTTGCCCAATATCTTGCCCATATATCTCTTAAGCTGTAGGTAAGGATAGCACACAGCCCAGAGTACAACTTTCCTTAAAAGACGGCAACAGTAAGTTGGTATGTCAAATGGTATTTTTTAAAGAAGGCAATCGTCGTAGAGGCTAAAGTACATATTGATAAATTAATGAGATTCTCAAAACATATTTATCTTAGGTAGAATTAAGCTCGAACACAGCGGAAACTACAAGTTTGCCTCATTGACAATCACACAATAAAAATGTGGCCATATGGTACACATGGCTACGTAGAGTGTTCGCAAAGCACATCCTAATTGAGTGCACAACCGAGTTTTGAGTTCCAGACGAGGTCAAAAATGGAGTCCAGACTAAAGTAAAAAGGATTATGAGATCAAATGTCGTCCTATAATTGTTGTTGGAAATGCGAGTTTAAAAGATCTCGTATCTAATTTCAGTCCGATTAAATATTCTCACTCATTCCTACATCGCAATGGAATACAAAACAGACTCAATGCGTTTAAGTACCTGTACTCAAAGTATAATCGGCAACAAACAGATCATGTTAGAGACAAAAAGGATTCACTTGCCTTTTTGGAATGTGGCGGTGAAGCCTTGTTTTTCTACAGAACTGTCTGAGAAGAACTTCACATACATTGTATTTTTCGTTGACTTGACCGGAGTAGGCATCTGGAAGCCACAGATACGCTTGATCAGAGGAGCTGTCTCATCGAGACCATCACGCACCTCAACATAGTCATAGGCACAAATTTCATGATGCTCCACCTAATGTAGCGTAAAAACAGTAAAATACGTACACGTATTATCGGAAATGGGCATATAACAATTCTGAACTACTTTACGTAACAGAATATGTAGACTAATAATAATAAAATGTAGGACTTTATGGAACTCAATTAATTTCTTTAAACAACCAACGTAATTCTCTTTGTTGTCCCAAGGCCTACAAGTAGAAATGCTTCAAGTTGAACCTAGTATCAGCATGCCAATGAATAACCCTCAGTTGTGACTTTCAAAAGACCTTATCATCCCGAGCAGATTGCAGTTTCTAACTAGCAAGGGATTCAGAGCCGGCGTAGGGTAGCATCACATAATACTTAAAACCAAGCAGCCGAAACGAAAAAGCATCATTTGAAATAGATGAAATTTTTTCCGTTTTTGAGACTATTAGTAGATCTGATTTGAGAATTGTATTCACCGGAAGGTCTGGTGGCTGAATTTTGATACAATGCTTCGAATAGACCTCACGTTTTCAATGAATTTCTCGTAGCCTTGCTTCCTAAAAGTTCGTCTATTCCTTAGGATTTTCATCTGTCCTGTGATTCAAAACCACTCCTGGCCCTTTAACGTTGTGGTTAACTTGTCGAAAGTATACGCTTCATTGCCCTGGTTTGAGTCCTGGTGGGAATGCAATTTCTTCATGCCCTAATGAGAATCTCTTTTATGAGGCAAGTTTATGTTACCTTAAATGGAAAAATGAGTTAAACACATGTCAGTTTGTGAAATTTCAACCATCACTCTTTCGTCACCTTAAGCGAAATATGATGAATGTACCTCATATATATCTGATCTACTTTGAGCCTCAAAAACCTATTTGCAAAACGAAAACTTAGATTCCCTCCAAAGTCGATTATGTTATTAATTTTTAGCACGATTACTACTTGATTAAGAACATTGACACTCCCTCATGCAGCGAAGTAGGGGCTAAGCTGCAGCCAGAGGAGGAGATATTTTGGGTGACAAAACCTAGAGAATAAGAGTTCCTTTTCACCTAAGTCGCATTAGGTGATGAAGGGTTAATAATTTATAGTCTCGAAGCCTATATCCTACGAATAGAAGTAACGTAGCAGATTAAAATATCCAACTACAGGTTTGCCTCGTCGACACGCGATATAGACGGGACATGACCAGCTTTAACATTGACATCTGCTCTATTAGCCACGGACAATCGTTACAATCTGGCTTAGTGCTAGCTTGTATAAAAGTTACACTTCACTGCTCAGGTTTGATTCCCATTAGGGGTCCTGCCAAGACCTGAGCTTAATCGAAACTGCAGTCCATCTTAGATTGAAATATATTTCGGAAGGCAAGGCTATGCGACCTTGAATCACAGGGCAAACGGGAATTTCAAGTAAAGAAAGGCCTTTCTCATAACGTTTTCCTTTTTGGAAGCAAGGTTATGTAAAATTAAATGGAAGTATGAGTCCATTTCATATCAGTATGTAAAAATTTAATTATCATTCCTTCATCCTCTTATGCAGCATAGGATAACCAGAACTTTTTATTCATTATTTACTGATAGAATAGAAGCCTACTTCCAATGAATGTACGAAGTTATGAAATTCCTTGACATCCTTATGCCGACTCGATTCATTTCACTGTCAGCTACTTTGTGCGAATAAATTTATGAGGGAAGAAAATGATCAAGACTAAGTTGACTCCTCCTCATTGTATAAAAATCTGAAACCCATGTGGCACATGCCTCCGTTGCAATAGCTTCTAAGCTTCTGCTTAGCTCGTTAGGGGACCAGGGTGAAAAGTATTTGAGGAATCATCATAATTTGTTCCTTAATATTGAGACTACTTGTATGGGTTTTTGTAGTGAGTACAAGATTCTTGATTATTTGATTCAAGTAAAGAATTTAGCTCCTATACACTTGTAAAGACTTCGCAAATATGAATTAGTGAGTATTTGGGC